CACAAGAAAATAGGCTAAAGACAAACTGTAATGTCCTGCCTCCTGATTTAGGAGGTAGGTTTTGTCCCCTTCAAAATAGGAGTGTTTATTATTATTATTATTTTTAACATAATCTAAGGAATTGCTTTAACTGCTGCTGCAGCTTTTGTGAGGTCAAGGTTTAAGTGATATGTATTGGTGACTAAAATGAAATGACTGATAGATTGTACCTGACTAATTTGTGAAAGATCAAATAACACGGAAGTGACAACATATCCTGGGAGTAGGGTAGCGGGGTGGTGGAAGAAAGCTCAAAATATTTAACTACAGTATTAGAACAATCTTGTTTGCTGATTCACATAGGTATTCTACATACACTAGTTTGCTATCTTACCAATGAAGAACTAGTACCATTCAAGTGGAAAATATAAAAAGTACCTTTAGAAATCTTGAATTTAGACCTGGCATGGTGGCTCATACCTGTAATCTCAGCACTTTGGGAGGCTGAGAAAGGTATATCGCCTGAGCTCAGGAGTTCAAGACCAGGCTGGGCAACATAGGGAGATCCCTTCTCTACACAAAAATTTTAAAAATTAGCCAGGTATGGTGGCATGCACCTGTAGTCCCAGCTACTCAGGAGCCTGAGGTGGGAGGATCAATTGAGCCTGGACGGTCAAAGCTGCAGTGAACCGTGATCGTGCTACTGCACTCCAGCCTGGGCGACAGAGTGAGAACCTGTCTCAAAAAAAAAAAAAAATCTTGTATTTAATCTCTCAGGGGAAATGAGTGTTGTGCAGTATTCTTACTATTGGAAGGCACATTGACACTAAAAGAAATGTAGCTTAATTAAATTATGAATTTTACAGATGTTATAAACAGAATCACTAGAATGTAACCCCAATATAGGATACCAATTAGATTTTGTTTCCCTTTTCAATTCTGGTCCATTGGACATGACTGCCAAAGGCTCTTTGTTGAGAAGGATACTGAGGCAGTGCTTGCATTCAGTTGGAAATAATTAATGATTGATTTACAGTGCCTTCTATGGAAGCCTCCAAAGACCTTCACCTTGCTATATCCAATGTTTATTTCTCAGTCCTCATTTTACGTGACCTATTAACAGCAGTTGTCTTGGTTCATCACTCCTTCCTCCTTCATTGTCTTCGCTTGGCAACTGGTTCCTTTCACATAGCTAGCCACTGTTCTCAGTCTCATTTGCAGATTCTGCTCACCTTGCCTCCCTCTTAGAGTTGAAGTATTCCAAAACTCAATCATTGTAACACCTTTCTACCTAAACTTGCTTCTTAGAGCAGCATGGTCCAATAGAAAAATAATGCGAGCCACAAATGCAAGCCAAATATGTAATTTGAAACTTTGTAGTAACTTCGTTTAAAAAAAGAAACTGATGAAATTAATATATATCTTATTAAACCCAATATGTCCTAAATATAATCATTTTAATAATATAAAAATAGTGCAATATTTTAAGTTATTTTATTTTAATATTAAGTCTTCCCAATCCAAAGTGTTACACTTGCAGCACATCTCAATTCAGACTAGCTAATAGATGTTGTATTGAATAGCATGACCCCAGATTATCTCATCCAATTCCTTAACTTAAAATACCATCTACATCCTGAATACTGACTACTGTCACATTTTTATTTCTAGCTTGGACCTGTCTCCTGAATTCCAGACTAACTGATATCTAAGGGTGACATCAGTTCTCGGATTCCGAATGTGTATGTCTAACTTACCATGTCCAAAACTGAACACTTGGTCCCCAGATTTGCTTTTCTCCATTTTAGTTACTGGCAACTTCATAACTTCAGTTGCTCAAGCTAAAAATGTTGGAATCAACCTTGACTTTTCTTTTTGTCTCAAACCTCATATCCAATTTACAACTCCTATGATACTATTGGTTCTATGTTCAAAAGATATCCAGAATCTAATTCCGTATCATTTCCTCCACTACAGTACTATGGCCCAAATTCCCATTATCTAGGATTACTGAAATAACATCCAAACTGATCCCCCTTTCTCCTCATAGCAGCCAAATGTCTGTGAATAACATAAGCCAAATCATGTCATTCATCTGCTCAAAATTCTCCAATAGCTCCTAATCTTACCCAGAGTACAAGCTGAAGTCCTTACAATGACCTTTAGAACTCTACAGGATCTGAGGCCAGGCATGGTGGTTCACCTCTAACCCCAGCACTTTGGAAGGCTGAGGCGGGTGGATTGCTTAAACTCGGGAGTTTCAGACCAGCCTGGGCAACATGGTAAAACCCTGTCTCTACAACAAATACAAAAATAAGCTGCTCGTGGCGGAGTGCACCTGTGGCCCCAGCCACTCAGGAGGCTGAGGTGGGAGGATTGCTTGAGCCCAGGAGGTTGCAGTGAGCCAAGATCAGGCCACTGCACTCAACCTGGGTGACACAGTGAGGTTCCGTTTAAAAAAGAAAGAAAGAAAGAAAATAACTCTACAGGATCTGGCCCCCTGTTACTTTTCTGACTTCATCTCCCACTATTTCCCTTGCTTATTCCACTCTAGCCACCCCCTCCTCCTGCTCTTCCTTGAGAAGGTCCATCATGGTCTTTCTTGAGGGCCTTTCTTTGGATTTGCTGTACCCTCAACTATCTCCATGGCTCTCTACCCCACCTACCACCCCCTTGTTTTTTTGAGACAGTGTCACCTGTTGTCTAGGCTAGAGTGCAGTGGTACAATCTGGGCTCACTGCTTTGGCCTCCTGGGCTCAAGTGATCCTCCCCCCTCAGACTCTGGACTAGCTAGCTCCCACCACCACACCCAGCTAATTGTTTTTGTTTGTTTGTTTGTTTTTGTAGAGACAAGGTTTCGTCATGTTGCCCAGGCTGGTTTCGAACTCCTGAGCTTAAGCGATCTGTCCCCCTCAGCCTCCCAAAGTGCTGGGATTACAGGTGTACACCACCCCACCCAGCCTTCTCATCTCTTTCAAGTTTTTGCTGAAATATCTTCTGAAAGAATCACTTGAATAAGTGAATGACATGACATGAATGAATGATTGGTATGACGAAATATGACAGAATAGGTGCCATAAAGAAGAGTCAGAGCACTAGTGCCCAATGTTTGCCCTTCTAATAGAAGTTAACACAAATCTAACTTTCAATATTGATTGAGCACCCATTATGTAAAATAGACATGTATATGATTGGCTGCTATCAGTGAAGGGAAACATTGAAATAATCTTGTTGCTTTGGAAGGTATTCTTGAACATTTTCAGCACATACAAATAGCTGACTTCCTTAGTCACTGAGAAGGCAGTATCCCTTAACAAACAGGAATAGCTTCAGATACCCCAGGACTTCCCCCTCCTAGGCAATCAGCATCTACACACATAATCCCTCAATCCAGGCAGTATTTAAATCACTGCACAATTAGAACACTTACTTCTAGTCATTACTTTTAATTTGATGGGTAACTAAATCACTTACTGCCTCAATTCTTTTATCCCTATGATAAAATGTCTAATTTCACCTGGTTCCCAATTCAGGTTGAGATAACAGGACAACATGCACTTGGCTGTCAGAAGTTGGCAGAATGTATGCATTACAGAACTTAAGAAAAAATCTTTTTTAAAGCTAAGATTTCTAAACGAGGGCTATTTAAAACTCATCTTCAGTTTGTAGTAGACTTTAGGTCTTTAGTCTCTCCTTTTATATACATATTCTTTTAGAGATAATTGTCAGCAATCATGCTTGGACAAAAAATTGTATTACAGGTACTGTTTTTCCTCTCTTCCTTTCTTTTCTCTTCTCCGCACATAAATATGAAACCTGAGTAATCAACCAGAGACACTGAAATGTGTAGTTCACTCCAGGAATGGATTTGAGCGTTGGAGGGTAGGGAGAAGAATACAAAGGATCGAGGGAGCACATGTAGGGAAACAAGGAAAGATAGTAATGCTAAATTTATAAACACTGCTCAATTCAATCCAAAAAGCGTTTATTGAGTGCAGAGCTCTGTGCTGGTCATTTTAGTAAAACCAAGATGAGCAAGACTCATGATGATTCTCTGTCATCAAGGACCTGGGAGTATGAGCTGAACTAAGACGCACACAAATTATTAAAATATGGTGCAGGGTACCCTATTTTAATAGGGTACATAAAGGAAGTCCAAGGAGAAATAAAGCTGACATTAAGAACGTTTTAATATGCCAGGGCAGTTACATATATTAACAACCCTTCCAAAAATTCCAGGTAGGCTCAGGGAGGATAGGTAACTTGTCATTAAAGCTAGAAAGTTGGTGTAGTCTGGCATTGTCCCTAACCTAGGTTCTGAAGCTCAGGCTCCTTTCAGAACACTACTGTTACAGGGAAGCCCGAAGGAGTCGGGGGAGGGGAGTACGTTTTGACTGGATGTGTCTCGGTTGCCCTGGAGGGAACAGGAGGTCAGAAAAGCCATTTGGAGGCAGCGTGTGCGATAGGACTAGAAGGATGAACCGGAGATTGAGTGGGAACTAGTGGAGGGAAGAGGGAGGGACTTTTCAGGCTAAGGAAGTAACAAGAGCAATTAGCTCCTCTCATAATTCCTTGAGTCGAGGAGTTAACGTAGGTAGAAAAACTGGCGTCCGCCCCCCCAACACCCTCCACCCCTGGAACTTTTCCATTGGAGCTTTTAGGTGTTCTCCAATTTCACCATTAGTTGTGTTATTTTTGTAACTTGAAGGAAAAAACAAAAAACAAAAAAAACTCATGTTTTAATAGCACTGGATTCCTCGGACGGAGGGTGGGGGTCCGGCCAGGAGCCTCTGGCACATTCCGTCCCTTCTACCCCTCAGCTCGGCCGCCACCTGCGAGCCATTGATGTGCGGGAAGGGCGCTCCCTACAGCGGGATCCTCGCGGGTCGGAGGCCGGTCTCAGGCCTGGCGGGGGTTGACCCCGGAGGGCTGGGCCGGGGCGGGACCCCAGACGCACCTGCCCGCGAGGCGGCTGCGCGGACAGACGTTCCAGCCCCTCCCGCCTCGCCGTGTGTTTACGTGGAGACGAAGATGGCGGCGGCGGCGGCGGTGACGGCGCTTCCCGTGCGGCTGAGGGCGATCCGCCAGTGAGCGCCGAGACTGTTTCCACTTCGGGCGGGGGAGCGCCGGCCTGGCTCGGCTCTCTGGGCAGCGGAGCTTGCTGTCCCACCTCCGTCGAAACCGACCTTTCCCCGACCACCCCTCAACCCCTGTTTTCCCCTGCCTTCCTTGCAGAGGCCATGGAGGACGAGGAGAGACAGAAGAAGCTGGAAGCCGGCAAAGCCAAGGTAGGAGAGCCCGAGGCAACTGGGCCTGCGGTGGGAGGCGATGGCTAGCAAGGGGTGGGAGGGGGTCTGGGAAGCTGAGTTCGCCGCAGCCCCAGTGCACTGCCGGAGAGGGAGGTGCTGCAGGGTCTGCATCTCTCCTCGCCCTCCTCCTTTCCCTTTTTTCCAATTGGGGGACAAAGCCTTGTGCTGCTAGCTAGCTGATAATACTTCCGTGAGGATTGAATGTTGTGCCTTCTTTCTCGTGAATGTTCAAATAAAACTCCCCTTTTACTGTATTGCTGTAAACTAGTGTTTAGTTGCTTCTAAACCTCCGACCTTTCATTTTTTAAGGAGTTTTCTGGGTGGTGCAGGCATTGTGTTTTCCAGGGTGGGGATTTAGGGCTTTTCTTTATTGGGTTGGGGATTTGTGCGCTGATCATCGGCTTGTCTTCCTTAGGTGGCACGCTGGCACTCTTGGGTGTGTGTGATTGGCCTGTGACAGCTGTCTCAGCAGTGACTTGTGTGTGCCACAAGTGCCAGCTGTGAACTTGGCTTTAGGGGCGTTTTTAGAAGCGTGTCTTTGTATGTTTGTACTTGAAGGTCTTTGTCATGGCATGCGCTTTTGTGTCGTATGGAATGTTAATGCAGTCTGTGAATGGAACTTCTGGGGACCGAAAGGTTCTATATGCCTAGTAACACCTATAGAATTCCTGCTTAGAGTAATTTAGTTGTTACATATCTCTCTGGCGAATCCTGATTATGCGTGTGCGTGTGTGTGTAGATGTGTGTGTACGTGTATGGAAAAGCCTGTAAAGCAAACAATACAATACACAGTTATACGGAGGCATCGTTCATTGGGCTTCATGAGAAATTTAACATATACAAAATATAAGCTGCGTAGCATATTTCTTTTAAAAATTACATATTTGAGCATATATTTTGTCTGGGCTCAAAAGCCCCCTTCCTCCCTTCAATGAAGTCGTCTTTTATAGATTATATTCTTTTTAGAGATAATTGTTAGCAATCATACTTGGACAAAAAATTGTATTACAGGTAACTGTTTTTCTTATCTTCCTTTCTTTTCTCTTCTCCGCACATAAACAAAGGAACCCAGGTTAGTGATTTATTATCAGTGAAGGGCCATACCGCAGAGATGCAGTGATAGAAGCTCAACGCAAGTTTGTTAAATGAATATAAATGTAAAAACTAGCTTCATATTTCTAAAATATAGTTGACTTTCCTATAGGATCCCTCTATTTAAGGTCAAGATTTAAATGCTTGTATATAGCCAGGTAAATTTTTACTTTCGAATCTATAAATGGTGGGAAAGGGTAATCAGGGTACCTTTAGAAGCCCAAGCGCTTACACTTGTGCAATCTGAGGGGCTGAGCAAGCTCTGTGCATCTAAGGAAGTAGTGGAGATGAAGTGTGTGCCCCCTCCAAAAGCACTGAAGATCTAATTAGATATCTTATTTGTCTGTTACCTCAGAATTTTTATTGCTTGCCCCCAGAAATATCTTTCCTAAATATATGTGAAGCAGTCCTATAAAACATGGTTTACTTTGGACATACACATTTCATAATAGAGGATTTATTTAAATTGCTTGCAGTTGTAGTTGATTTGGCAAAATACAATTCTAGTTTCTTTGTGTGTTTCTTTGTCTTTCAAAATTCTGCGTATGGGGTAAAACCAACATGTTTAAGATGAATTTTTTGTTGTAAAAGATTATCTTCTTTTAGAATTTAGTCCTTTTTCCAGTAAGATATAAATCTATGAGACTTGTAAGGCAAGGTATGTTTGCTGCAACATTAACTATACAATATAAAAATGCTGACATTGGGATCCTGGGGCAAGAGGATCGCTTGACCCCAGGAGTTCAAGACCAACCTGGGCAACATAGACTCCACAAAAAATTTAAAAAAAAAATAGCTGGGCATGGTGGTGTGTGCCTGTATGTATTCCCAGCTACTCAGGAGTCTAAGGTGGGAGGATCACTTGAGCCCAGGAGTTCGAGGCTGCAGGGAGCCATCATCATGCCACTGCACTTCAGCCTGGGCAACAGAATGAGATCCTGTTTCAAAAAACAAACAAACAAACAAACAAACAAACCCTGGAAATAACTTTTAAAGACAACATGAAGAGAATCATTTTCTAAGTTATATAAACATGACGGAATATTTTAAAGCCATTAAGATTATGAAGACTGCTAGGAATATGAAAAATAGTGTGAAAAGGGCATTATCAAAAATAGCGTATACATTATTTCATTTGTATAAACGTGTGCTTTCAGATTAGAACTGAAAAACTCTGGATTATAATGTCATTCAGCAAACCTATATTGAGCCGCCATTTTATACCTAGAGGTGGTGACAGTGTCTGCTCTCAAGTTGCTCACTGTTTAGTGGGAGAGACAGACTCTGGGTGTTAAGTACAAAGAGGGATGAGCTGCAGTGGGATTTGGGGGATATTTTTCCAGGTTTTGTTAAAGTGTTTTAAATGCTACGATCTCATTTTATAGAATTACTAATAAGGCTCTTACTATTGATATTAATGCACTGTAATATAATGTCTTTCAAATAGTAGTTATTCATACGTATTTGCTTAATGAATGAGCAGAATGATTACTGAGTCATTAATAAGTATTACTTTACTAGCATGGTTGTAATTTAATAACAGTAATCTAGAATTCTCTTAATGTGAATTCCATATTCCTGGTATCAGAAACAACTTTAAATGATCATTTTCCAAAGTTTATCTGAGACTTCATTCTCCAAATGTCTCATTTGTTCACTGGACTTAAGTATTGTATTTGATAATCTAGTTTCACAAACCACAACTTATAAATCTTTTGGGGGGTAATTTATTGGTAAACGGTTCCACTGAAAAATTCCCTTTCTGTGTCTAAACCTTATAAATGATGACTTCTTAAATAGCTTGTCATATATGCGGTATAATATATAGTATACTTTATAAAATATTTTATACTACCCCAAATCTGTAATAATGGGTTAATAAATTGTGGTATTTAAAATAATTCTACAAAGACTTTTTGAGTTCAGAAAATGCCCACAAATAATGCCAGGTTAAAAAGAAAAAAGTTACCAGAAAAAGGTATATGTACATGTTTAAATATCAAGACACCTGAAGCACCAAGATATAAATTGTGGTTATCTCTGGGTTGTGGGTTATAGGCAATTTTAATTTTCTTTACACTTTTAGTAATTTCCAAATTATTGATACAATATATCTCTTTTATGCCCAGAAAAGAAGGATCAAGTGCCTTTTTTTTTTTTTTTTTTTTTGAGACAGGCTGTCTCCCAGGCTAGAGTGCAGTGACACGATCTTAGCTCATTGCAGCCTCCACCTCCCAGGTTCAAGTGATTCTCCTGCCACAGCCTCCCGAGTAGCTGGGATTACAGGCATGTACCACCACGCCTGGCTAATTTTTGTATTTTTAGTAGAGATGGGGTTTCACCATGTTGGACAGGCTGGTCTCAAACTCCTGCCCTCAAGTGATCTGCCTGCCTCGATGTCCCAAAGTGCTGGGATTACAGGCATGAGCCATTGCACTCAGCCTCAAATGCCATTTTTAAAAAACCATGAAGGCTTATTAAATACATTATATTAAACACATGTTTTAGTGTATGACCATTATCCAGAACAGGAAAATGAGGCATAGAATAACTTATGTTTCCTATTTTAGTGTAGGCCTGGAATTGTAATTGTTATTTCAGTGCAGTGTATTATATAGTTGGGATTATACTGTTAGACATTTTATAGATCTCCTGTTTTTGTTGTTCTTCTTTCCTTGCTGTTAGTTCTTATTGCTATGGGAATGCTCTTACTCTTCAGCTGCCTCTTTTTGCTAATTTGCTGTTTTAGGTTTGCTACAAGTAAACCCAGAACTGAGCTTGATAGAATACTACGTAAAAAGAAAACAACAACAAAAAACCAAAGACCTTAGGCGGGGTGTGATGGCTTACACCTGTAATCCCAACACTTTGGGAGGCTGAGGTGGGAGGATTGCTTGAGCCCAGAGGTTCTAGACCAGCCTGGACAATGAGACCCCATCTCTAAAAAGAAAAAAGTATAAAAAACAAAACAGGCAGGGCGCAGTGGCTCATGCCTGTAATCCAAGCACTTTAGGAGGCCGAGGTGGGTGGATCACCTGAGGTCAGGAGTTCGAGACCAGCCTGGCCAACATGGCAAAACCTCGTCTCTACTAAAAAATATAAAAAATTAGTCGGGCATGGTGGCGGGCACTAATCCCAGCTACTGGGGAGGTAGAGGCAGGAGAATCACTTGAACCCAGGAGGTGGAATTTGCAGTGAACTGAGGTTGTGCCACTGCACTCCAGCCTGGATGACAGAGCAAGACTCTATCTCAAAAAAACAAACCAAAACAAAAACGGAGACCAGTGGAGCTTGCCCAATGGGCTTTAGGGCAATTTAGTTTTTCTGCTGCTTGTTGGTTATTTTGGTTTACTATTGGGTCTCAGCTATTTCCTCAGTATTGATGTTGCAAGAAGCATGACCCTGGGAGATGTAAGACATTACTGCATTATGTATTAAGTAAATATTTTCAGAGCTAGGCTAACTCCCTCTACAGTGTTTTGACAGGGATGGCACTACATAGGTTGTCCTTGTGTTGAACCAAACTATTTTAACTCTGCTTTAAATGACTTCATTTTTTCCCAAGTATAATTATTCATGTCCCGTAAAGAAAGTATTGTAATTTAAGTGAACAGAATTAGAGGACAGTTGTATATTTAATATAAAATTATTACTCTTATAAATTTGCATTAGGTATACTTTTTTTAAGTTATTCAGTATTTTATATAATGGGCATTATTTGCTGAAGAATAAAAAATTATTGCCTATTATATTCAGTAATTTGTAATTACATGACTTTTGTTTAACAAGCATTTTCAGTGTGAAGAGTAGTTCCAATTGTGTACCAAAAAAAGGATGATGCTTCATGCAAGCTGTGTATGGATTATTGATAGCAGGACTTTTCAATT